GTTCAAGTTTTCCATCAGGTGAAACTCATTCCACCTATGGAAGGAGATGGGTGGGGGAAGAGAGATACCAGATCAGTGTATCTGTGTCTCCATCTGTGATTCGGGCCATTAAGTTCCATAAAAGGCTCCCTCCCTCCCTCACCATGGTTACAGTGGATCTCGCCACATGCTGACTTGGCTGGTACCTGAAATCTGAGGCAGACCCTTCATTTAGGGATGAATTATTGCTCTCTAACTAGTCCCAGGGATTAATTGTTTAGATGGTTCCTTGCTTTCCAAGGCCACCTTGCCTGGGACTTGCCTAGGGCCCTGTCCCAACTTCTCTCAGATCCAGCTTCAGCTCTTAAGACCTCAGCATGAATCAGAGCCCTGGGCCCCTCACTCATCTGGAAGGAATGGGTGGTTGGCAGGGTGTGTTGAGTTAGAGGTGCCTACAGGAAATGTCTGGTTCTTGTGTTGATGAGAAGGATCGAAGCTGGAGATGAAGATTTGGGAGTCATTCCTGCATTAGAGGTGGTAGTAGAAGCTACGAGTGCGGATGAGTTGCTCAGGTAGAGTGAGCTCCATGAGAAAATAAAGGATGAAGCCCTGAGAGGACCAACAGGAAAAGTTCAGGCAGCGGTGCCTGCGCCGAAGACGGAGAAACTGGAGAGGCTGTAGCACGAGGGGAGAGGGGCTTTTAAGTTACTTCACAGAAGGAGGAGTCAATAGCGTGAAACGCAGCTGAGCAGTAAAGTGAAATGAGGTCTGAATTAGACTCAACAACTGGGGCGTCACCAGGGACCTTAGGACAAGCTGGTTTAGTGGTCTGGTGGGAGCAGAAGCAGAGTGAACCACAGGCTCTGCTCTGCGGCACGGAGTACTCTGGCTACCAAAGAGGTATCTCTGTTGACTGGCTACCTCACTACCTTCTGTTTCCATTTATGTTTCTCTTAGCTGATACATCCAGATACACTGCTAGTCTGGATCAATACAACAGTGGGGATCTATTTTAGTACCACAGAAACTACTGCAAAAGATTTTCTGGGTTCATACACGGTGCTCTCACGGTTAACCTTCAGGTCCTCAGTTTGCAAGCTAGTAAGCACTTTAATTGATTCAGCATAATATAAATTCGGCTTTTCATGGCAATGCTAGTCCCACATCATTAATTCCATTGACAACAGCTGGCTGGCATGAGTAGCAGCCTCAGCTTCCCTTGCTCTCCGTCCGGCCAAAGCCACCTCCACTTCCTATCATTGTCTCATATTAAGCTTGGCTAGCATCACTATTTTTGTTTGTTTGTTTGTTTTTTGGCCACGCTGCGAGGCTTGCGGAGGCTTAGTTTCTCAACCAGGGATCGAACCGGGGCCCTCAGCAGTGAAAGTGTGGAGTCCTAACCACTGGACAGCCAGGGAATTCCTTTTTTTTTTTTTTTAAATAGCTTCACTCATTTTTTGACTCCTTCTCTCTCCCCTCAACGGTTTAATTATTGAATAAAACATTTATTCCATACATTTATACCACGCTTTCACGTTGATTTACAAAGCACCTTCCCCTACTGACATCTCACAACGCACGCTAGGAATTATTAGGCTGGAAGGGCAGTGGCGGGGCGCGCGCACCCCCTGCTGGCGTCCCGGCGCGCTGCAGCCTCCCTTCCTTCCCGCCCGTCAGGAGCTCGAGAGAAGGCTGAGACGCCAGTGCCCGCGCAAAGCTTCCTGGGAAATGTCTGGGGTGTACGTGTTAAACTACAAATCCCGATACCCACCGCGCTGCAGCCCCGAAGAGGGTGCTTTCTGGTGACTCTGAATCTTTGTCAGTGTCGTTGGGACTGCTGCACAAGCCTGATTCAGTATTCACAGGAGGTTTTGGGAGAACGTGATAGCTCTTCCGCCGGGTGTGCACGAACGGACTTGGCTTCCGCTGCTTCCTCGGGCTCGCTCGGTGTGGCGAATCTGCCGTTGCGACACAATGGCTGGGAGCGCAAGGCCCCACGGGAGGCTTGTGGAATCTGCTGTGGGAAGAAGGAAGCCAGGTTTCTTGGGCAGCCACAGTCATGGCGGAGACGGCCCGCAGTGCCGTGGGCTCCGCGCCTGGGGCGGCGGCTTCCGCCGAAGCCCCGCTGCAGTACAGCCTTCTTCTGCAGTACCTGGTGGGTGACAAGCGTCAGCCCCGGCTCCTGGAGCCTGGGAGCCTGGGCGGGATCCCGATTCCGGCCAAGAGTGAGGAGCAGAAGATGGTCGAGAGGGCGATGGAAAGCTGCGCCTTCAAGGCGGCGCTGGCCTGCTTGGGAGGTGAGGCGAGGAGGGGGGCCTTTGGGAGGCTTAGGGCTTGGGCGGCATAGGGGTCCCCTGCCAAGAAGACCACGCGCCTGGGAGGCGAGGAGTCCATGGGCTTCGACCTTGACCCACCCCCGCCTGGTTCAGTGAGCTCGAGCAGCGCCTCCCTAGGTCCCGAGGTTGGCTTTCGCCTCTGGAAATTGGATCAGAGAATCGATCCTGGGTCGGGACCAGGGGTTTCTAAGATGGTTGACTTCATTCATTCATTCGCTTTTAAATAATCATTTTTCAACAACTTGTTACTTTGCAGCTATCACGTGTCAGGCGGTGGAAAGACAGGGTGAGAACAAGATCCTTGTTCTCATGAAGCTAACATTTTAATATACATAGAAAATTGTTGAGAAGGAGCCTGGAGGAGAGCTCTGCAGACATAGGGCCCAGCACCTGCACAGGTCTGGCCGGAAGTGGCTTGAGGTTAGAAAAACAGAAAGGCCAGCGAGGCCAGTGTGACTAGACAGCAGGGAAA